TTTGAGCCCATCTCTCTGTCCTCTCTGGAGCAGGTAATGTGCAGCATGAAGCCATCTGGTTCCCCCTTTGATGTGGTCCCCCCTCGACTGCTAAAGGAAGTTTTTCCTACCCTGGGTCCTTTTATCCTCGCTATTCTGAATAGCAGTTTATCCTCAGGTGTGGTGCCAAAGACTTTTAAACATGCTGCTGTCCAGCCCCTCCTGAAAAAACCTAACCTTGACCCCTCAGTCATGTCCAACTTCCGGCCTGTCTCCAGACTCCCATTCACCTCTAAACTACTGGAAAAAATTGTGGAGTCTCAGTTGAAACAGTTTTTGGGGGATCACGCAATCCTTGAGTTATTCCAATCTGGCTTCAAATCTCTCCATAGCACTGAAACTGCTCTACTGAAGGTTTTTAATGACATTTTCATATCCACAGACACAGGTGATTCTGTGCTGCTTGTCCTATTGGACCTTACATCTGCTTTTGACTCCATCGACCACAACATCCTCATTTCTAGACTGGAGCAGTGGGTGGGCATCACAGGGTCAGCCCTTAAATGGTTTGGGTCCTACCTCTCTGACAGAACCTTCTGTGTCAATATCAAAGATTTTAGTTCGGCATCGACAGCGCTCCAGTGGGGGGTACCGCAGGGGTCCATCCTCGGTCCCCTTCTCTTTTCTTTATACCTGCTGCCACTAGGTGCTATCTTCCGCAAACACGACATACCCTTTCATTTCTACGCCGATGATTGCCAAATTTACTTCCCCCTGAGGCACAGAGGCACACGCTCTATTCATCCTCTTCTTGACTGCCTGGCTGACATCGGGACTGGATGGCTTTAAACTTCTTAAGCTTCAATGAAAAGAAGTCTGAAGTCATGCTGTTCCATCCCAGTGGCTCACTCATGAACCATGACATTGACCTTTTCTCTCTAGCCCCGCTAGAGAAACAAAAGGTCACTAATCTGGGGGTGATAATGGACCCGTCCTTAAAACTCAACAGTCACGTAAACATGATGGTCAAATCCTGTTTTTTTCAGCTGAGACGGCTGTCTAAGCTGAAGCCTATACTCTCCAAAAAGAACCTTGAGACAGTGATCCACGCCTTCATAACATCTTGGCTTGATTACTGCAATTCACTTCTGTTTGGAATCAGTCAGTCCACCATTGCTCGTCTACAACTGGTCCAAAATGCTGCAGCCCGATTTTTAACTGGTACAGGCTATAGAGAGCACATCACGCCAGTTTTGGCCTCCCTGCACTGGCTACCCATTCACCTTCGGATCCATTTCAATATTCTCATGTATGTTTTTAAATCACTGAACAGTTCCGCCCCATCCTATCTCACTGATCTTCTGCAGCCATATGTCCCACCGCGCTCTCTGAGGTCAGCAGACCAGATGCTTCTCTCAGTCCCAGAAACCCGTCGTAAGCTCAGAGGTGACAGGGCTTTCTCTGTCGCAGGTCCACGACTGTGGAATGAGTTGCCACTGAGTGTCCGGCAGGCTCCCACACTCTCAGTCTTTAAGTCTCGCTTGAAGACCCACTTCTATTCGCTTGCCTTTAACACGGTGTGATCTGTTCTCTACTCTGTTGGCCATTTTAGTTAGCTTCTGCTGCTATTTGTATCTGTATTTCTATTTTATGTTTTCCTGTCTGCTGTGCATGTTTGGTTCTTTGTACAGCACTTTGGTTGGCCTTGTTGCTGTTTTAAGTGCTATATAAATAAATTGGTATGGTATGGTATGGTATAATTCTGTACAGCACTTTGAGCTGCTTTTAGTATGAAGGGTGCTTTATAAATAAAAATGATTGATTGATTGGTTACTTTCTTTTTCAGTGGAGCAATTTTATCAAGTGAAATTTGCATTGAAGTTGTAAGATGATCAACTAGATGATAAGTCACTGTTCTCTGATGCATTACTCTGCAAGACAGAGGAAAACATTGATAGAAGAGATTGTTTAAATTTGGTTACAGCATTTTCTGATAAGCACCTGCTGAGATGAAATTTACTCTCAGTGACTGTGTAGTCATTTAATGTAAACTCAAAGGTTATTAAAAAATGGTCGGACAGAATAGAATTTTGAGGAACTATTACCAAGTCCTTAATCTCTATACCATACTGTAGGTCAGAACTAAATCAAGAGAGTGATGATAATAATGAGTAGATGTGCGGACGTTTTGGGTAAAACCAAATGAGTCTACCAAATTACTAAAGGCTATGCTTAAACTATCACTTTCAACATCTACATGAATATTGAAATCACCCATTATGATGATTTTATCAGTATTTAATAGTAAATCAGTAAATAATTCTGAGAATTCAGACAAAAACTGAGAGTAAGCGCCTGGTGGACGATATATAACAACTAGTAAAAGTGGCTTTTCTGATTTCCATTTTGGATGTGAAAGACTGAGGAACAGTGATTCAAAAGAATAATAACTAACAACTGGTTTGGCATTAATCATTAATCCTGACTGAAAAATAGAAGCTACTCCTCCACCTCAGCCAGTTGTTCTAGGAACATGAAAATTTAAATAATTAACAGTAGTGGATTCATTTATACTAACAAAATCCTCCTGTTGTAACCAAGTTTCTGTCAGACAGAATAAATCAATATGATGATCAGTTATCAGTTCATTAACCAACAGGGATTTAGAGGAAAGAGATCTGATGTTCAACAATCCACATTTAATGATTTTATGATTTTGCTCTGGTAAATTAACTGTGTTTATTTTAATCAGATTTTATGGTTTATATTTTTAGAGCTGATTTTTGGTTTATTTAATTTGAGCCGTGGGCAAGTTGACACTGTTTCAATGGGGGTGTGGGTGGGTCACAGAGGAGAAGCAGCAGAGAGGTGTGCAGGACTTACAACTCTGCTTTCTGGACTGGACCCTGGGTTGTCAATAATTTGGGGGATAAACAAAATCAGCCATATTTCTAGAAAGAAGAATGGCTCCGTCCAAAGTGGGATGGATGTCATCTCTCTGCATCAGACCAGGTTTTCCCCAGAAAAAACTCCAGTTATCCATGTAGCCCACGTCGTTGTCAGAACACCACCTGGACACCCAGCGGTTAAACGACGACATACGGCTAAACATGTAATTGCTGGTCAGGTTGGGGAGGGGGGCAGAGAAAACTGCGGAGTCCGACATGGTTTTAGCAAAGTCACACACCAAAGCAACATTAATTTTAGTGACCTCCGATTGGCGTAACCGGGTGTCATTACCGCCGACGTGAATAACAATCTTACTGTATTTAGCCTTAGCCTTAGTTAGCAGTTTCAACATTTCATCCGTTTGGTGTTTGTATATCAGTTTTAAGAGTAGGTGGATATAAATAATTTTAAAAACAACACTCAAAACACAAAAGAAAACACAAATCTATTTTAATAAATTCCCTGCAGAGCTTCTACATATTTAACTTGGAATATAAATTTGCACACTTTTCAGAGCATCTGCAGAATGATTCGAGACTACAGTAGACCAGTAAAAATATCTATTGTCTCCTGGCACATATGGTCACTGACTCAGAGACAACAATCAACTTTCAATGGTCAGTTGCTTTGGTTCCAATTTTTTTCATTAAAAGAGTTTAGAGTATGTGTTGGGGATCAGTCTCAACAACTACTGTACCAGACTGCAAGTGAATATCTGTAACTTCTGCTGAGCTATAATCATTTTGTGTGTGTGTGTTTTAAGTTAGTTGGATGTGGCAGTCATCTTGAATTGGGTTGGCTCCAAAAGTTAATCAAATGGAAGTGTACATTCAGTGACTTATAGGGATTGAATGATTATGGTACATATTTTTTAAAAGTTGACATTAACATGATAATAGTCGAGTCAACGTTGACTAGTTGATGACGTCATAGAAACTCAATACACTAAAAACATTTTTGCAAAAAAAGTAATTTATTATTTACAAAAAGATAAGAACAACAAAACATCGAGAGCATATACTTATGCTTCTACCTTTTGTCATACTGCAAATAAGTTACAGGAAAAACAAAACTATTATTAAGCTGCAAAAGTTAGTTTTATTTTATTTATAAAATAAACCATCGTGTGCGGTGGTGGATTCTCCACCGGCGATGGTGCGCAGTGGTGGATTTTCCGGTGGAGCGCACCCCTGTTTGTATTTTTATTTTGTTTAGTGGATTAAATAAAATGAAACTAAATACAACATCATCTTTAGTGAAATACTTCCATGCTGTTGATGAAATTGTACCTGTTTGGGGAGACTTTGCCTGCTCCTCTCCTTCCATCTGCTTGGAAGAATCTGTTTTGTAGCCAGCGGCCCGACGCTGATCACGTGACACTGACTAGTCGACATGAAATTTTAAAACTTGTGAGATGTCCCAGAATCGACTAGTCAACTAGTCTATTCAAGCCCTAGTTTTCATTCAACCTTTTTTTTTCTAGTGACTATGATCTAGTGACTGCTTTCTGAAAGTTTCATTCAAACCCATCCATTGGTCATGAAGGTATTTTGCTAACACAGACGTGAAACAACATTGTCAACAGTGGATGGTAGTGGTAAAGGCCTCAAAATCACACAGGTTCTTTGTTTTAAGGTTTTATGGGTGTTGTTTTTTTTTTCTGGGCTGCAGTAGCTCAGTGGTTTAGTGCCACAATCCTGAGGCTGCTGGTTCAAGCCCAAGTTTTATCAGGAAGGGCATCTGGCCAAAAACAATTGCCAAACCTTTCATGCAAGTCTATTTCCTGTGGCAACCCCTGCATAAGAGAGCAGCCAGAAGAAAAACTAAGTGTTGGTATTATTTATCTGGTTGTGTTTAGCTCAGTTAGTGTCACAGTCTTATAATTCTAGGAGTCTGAGTTTGAACCCTGGTTGCATCAAAAAAGCCATCTGATGTAAAAACAACTGTCAGATCCCTCATGCAAGCTCACTGGCTTTAGCCACCCCCTTCAGAAGGGAACAGCCAAAAGAAAAACATTGGTACATTTATCTGTAGAAATACTATACTTGATTTTTTTTTTTGTCTCTTTCCAGAACAATACCAGCTGAATAATTCAGTTTATGGACCAGTTGGACAAGCTCTTCCACATCCACAGAGCAACCACAGCACTCTGGGACTGAACAAATTTAACTCCCTCAAAGCAGTGGGTAAGTGGCACAGCCTACCTGACCAAGGTGATTCTAATCCCAAGTGACATAATAACCTTTACAATACTCAGATTAAAAACTATCACATGCTGATGGTGCCACTGGATGAACAGGAAGTTTGACTTTACACCTGCTTTATGAGAAACTGGGGTAAGGCTAGTTAGAAAATGTTCATCGCCTATATCACACTTGGGTAGGACAGGTTAAATATTATTCAGTTCAGTTCAGTTTATTCACATAGCACTGATTCACAACAAATGTCATCTAACTGTACTGAAACAGTTGTTGTAATGTGGAGGTACCCATATGAACAGACTGAGAGGAAAACAGAACCAAACTCGAATGTAATTGAAAAATGTTTATTTACAGTATATGAAAATAAACTATTTACAAGCAGGGTCCAGGGCTGTGGAGACAGAGGAGGAGGAGGATTACTTCATGAGGAGGAGTCTGATCCAACAGGTGAGTGATCAAGGTCTTTGAGATGCTTACAGTGAAAGGAGTAAGGACGGCTGGTGAGCAAGGCTGAGGGTTTTTCTCCTTCCAGGACGATGACCAGGCAGACTACAGAGGCAAGTGGTTGAAGGCGTGTGAAAACAGCTGAGCACCAGGAATCATAGGTAAGTTTATCCTCCAGAGGTTTCTCCAATACTTCAGATTACAGGATGGAATCCAGGACATCTAGGCTCTGAAAACATGTAAACAAAAACAAGGTAAGTCTTCTCATTCTTTGAACACTATACAGGGCTGGAGGCATATGTACCGGCAGGTAGAACAATGCTCCAGCAATGACTGGAGCTCAACTGGAGCCTTAAGTAGTCCTGGCACCAATTAGGGAAAATGGTCTCAGCTGCGGCTGCTCATCAGTGCCGCTCCTGCCTTCAGGAACCTGGTGGAAAGAGGATGAAAAAACCCTACAGAACACCCCCCCCCCCTCCTCAAGAACCGCCTCCTGGCGATCGCTGGCGCTTTTCAGGGTGATCTCTAAAGAAATTGGTAATAAGGCTGGGGTCCAGGATGAAGGATCTGGGGATCCAGGACCGTTCTTCCAGTCCATATCCTTCCCAGTCCACTAAGTACTGGAACCCCCTACCCCTGCGTCGTACTCCAGGATGCGGCATACTGAAAATGCAGGGTGATTGTCAATGAGACGTGGGGGAGGGGGGAGGTTGGCAGGAGGGCACAGAGGGCTTTCTAGAACAGGTTTAATCTGTGAAACATGGAAAGTTGGATGGATACGCATTGAATCTAAAAAAGTTAAATCTGGTCCTCTGGACATTCAAAAAAACAAAACAACGCAAAACAACTAAAAATGTAGAAACGTTTCGTCTCTCATCCGAGAGACTTCCTCAGTCTGAGGTGCTGTATTCAGCTCAGTCTCTTAAATAGCACCTTCTCAGAGTGGATCAACCAGTTTGCTGCTGACAACCAAAACCAGCTGATCACATGCTCAAGAAGGACCATCAGCCTAACAATGGATCATTAGCACACTGATAGCTGTTTACTATTCACAGAGGGCTGAGTGATACTAGCAATCACAGCATTGTAAGAGGGGGACAATTGAACACGTAGGCCTCCACCCCTGTTTAATGATGGACGATTTCTTTTCACAAAGATGGCCTCCTTTACTCCTCTCTCAAACCATCGTTCCTCTCTATCCAGGATGTGCACATCTTCATCCCTGAAAGAGTGACAGCTGGCCTGGAGATGAGTGTAGACCGCAGAGTCCTGGCCTGATGATGTTGATCTTCTGTGCTGGGCCATCCTTTTTGGCCAGTGGCTGTTTTGTTTCCCCGATGTAAGACTGATCACAGCCCTCCTGACACTGAACAGCATACACAACATTACTCTGTCTGTGCCGGGGGACTGGATCTTTGGGATGAACCAGTCTTTGCCGTAATGTATTTTGGGGTTTAAAAGCCACTGGTATGTTATGTTTAGAAAATAAACGTCTCAGTTTCTCAGATACTCCCTCAACATATGGAATGACCACTGGTCTGGGTTCCTCCTTTTCACCTGTTGGCTGACTGGAGTCCTGTTTGGGTTTCTTCTCTGCTTTCAAGAAGGCCCAGTTAGGATATCCACATTGCTCTAGAGCCTGTCTTGTGTGGGATTTCTCCTTTTGCCTGGCTCCTGAGCTAGTGGGGACGCTGTCTGCTCTGTGATACAGAGTCCTGATGACTCCTAACTTGTGCTCCAAAGGGTGATGGGAGTCAAACTGCAAATACTGGTCTGTGTGGGTGGGTTTGCGGTACACCTCAGTTTGCAAATGTCCTCTATCAGAGACTGAGACCTCACAGTCCAAGAAAGCCAACTTGCCATTTTTTCCATCTTCTCGTGTGAACTTGATGTATTTATCCACAGAGTTGATGTGGTCAGTAAAATGTTGGACTTCCTGAGATTTAATTTTAACCCAGGTGTCGTCAACATACCTGAACCAATGACTTGGTGGTGTCCCTGAAAAGGACGTCAAGGCTCTCTTTTCTACCTCCTCCATGTACAGGTTGGCAACAATAGGAGAAACTGGAGACCCCATAGCACACCCATGTTTCTGCCTATAATATTGCTCCCCATATGTGAAGTAGGTTGACTGCAGGCACAGTTTCAAGAGTTGACACAGTTGTTCTGTGGAAAGCATGGTCCTGCTGCTCAGAGTGGTGTCTGATTTTAATTTTAAACTGACCACCTCTACTGCATCATCAACAGGAATGCACGTAAAGAGTGATGTGACATCAAAAGAGACCATTGTTTCATCAGTCTCCATGATGACATCCCTCACCTTATCCACAAAGTCCATGGTGTTCTGTATGTGGTGTTCTGAGCTGCCAACTAAAGGGATGAGTACAGACGCCAGATATTTGGAAACATTGTAAGTGACAGAGTTAATCATGCTAACAACTGGTCTTAAAGGTACACCTTGTTTGTGGATTTTAGGTAAACCATACAGACTAGGTGTGGCCTCCCCTGGGTACAGTCTGTGGTACAGAAAATGGTCAATAGCCTTCTCCTGCTCTAAACTTTTCAGGCAATCTATCAATTTCTTCTTGTAACCACTTCCTGGATCTCTTTTCAGAGGTTCATAAGTGTTTAAGTCACTAAGGAGTGTCATAACTTTCTTATGATAGTCTTTCTGGTTCAAAATCACTGTGCACCTTCCTTTGTCTGCTGGGAGAATGATGATGTTTTTGTCCTTGCTAAGAGTGGTGAGTGTGTCCCTCTCCTCTCTACTGATGTTGGAAGGTGGTGGTTTGGCATTGCTGAGGCAGGCTGAAACTTTGATTCTGAGCTGTTCTGCTTCAGCCTCTTTAATTTTGTTGTTGCGGATGGCTGACTCAGTAGCTGTGATCATCTCCACCAGAGGAATTCTACTTGGTGCAACCGCAAAGTTCAGTCCCCTGGCAAGAATCTGTCTCCGGCTGGGTGAGCTGTCTGTCAGATAAATTCTTCACCCACTTTTCTGTCTCCCTGGCATGTAATTGACTACTGGAGTGTTGTCCTACACTGAATGTGTTGTTATTGGAATAGTGATGGTGTTGATGAGCTATTAGTACGTTAAACTTGTTTTGTTGTCGAGTCGTGGACTTGACATGCTGTGCTAAGCGTGCCTGATCTGTACAGTCCATCACTTGCTGAAGTGTGGTCTGATCTAGGCATGTTGTTAGTTTTTGTTTAATGCGCTCTTCCTTGGCCTTCAAGGCCTCAATAGTAAAATTGGTCTGTCTCACCCGTTCATTACGGCAAAGACTGGTTCATCCCAAAGATCCAGTCCCCCGGCACAGACAGAGTAATGTTGTGTATGCTGTTCAGTGTCAGGAAGGCTGTGATCAGACTTACATCGGGGAAACAAAACGGCCACTGGCCAAAAGGATGGCCCAGCACAGAAGATCAACATCATCAGGCCAGGACTCTGCGGTCTACACTCATCTCCAGGCCAGCGGTCACTCTTTCAGGGATGAAGATGTGCACATCTTGGATAGAGAGGAACGATGGTTTGAGAGAGGAGTAAAGGAGGCCATCTTTGTGAAAAGAAATCGTCTATCGTTAAACAGGGGTGGAGGCCTACGTGTTCAATTGTCCCCCTCTTACAATGCTGTGATTGCTAGTATCACTCAGCCCTCTGTGAATAGTAAACAGCCATCAGTGTGCTAATGATCCATTGTTAGGCTGATGGTCCTTC